GATGTGTTTTGGGATGTTCTGTTGTTATGTGATTGTGTAAGTGGTGGTTTGTCGGGTGAGGTGGTCAGTAGATTCAATAGTCATTTTGACGGTTCTTTGTGGTGTTATGTTAACGGTGTCCCTGGAGTGTTGGTGCGGTGTACTGGTGGTGTTGTGGACGGCCTTCTGATTCTACGCATGATTGTTCCTGGAATAGATTTTGTCCCAGTCTCGTTGTTTCTTTTGTATGTATGCTTGGATTATTGTTATAAGGGTTTGGTTTGTATCGTTGAGTGTTTAATGTTGTACGCTAGAGTAAGTTGTTTTATAGTTTTGTTTAAGTACCGTGTTTCATTGTCCGTCCATATTATTGTGGTGTGCCCCATCTGTTTATGAAGTGTGTTTGTAGTGTCTACTCAACTGTGTCAGCGTTCGCCTTACGTACTGGTATTAGTTCTGCCCATTTGGTGCATGTGCCTGGGAATACATTGATAAATTGATTTCGCACCTTTGAGGAGGATACTGAGCCCATGACATCTGATGCTACGGGTGGCCACGGTTCTTCGATTATATGTCTGATTATTTTGCCTTTGGATAATTGTTGTTCGACCTTTATTATTCGGCACGTGTTGCAATTGCGTACGTAGTTTATTGTGTTTTTGTACATTCATGGACAGTTGTAATCCTGTGACTTTGGCATACGCATATTTAATGCTCGTTTGTCCAGTTCCTGGCATTATGTGGTTTTTGTATTATTCATTTCTATGCTTTATCGTCTGCAAGCAACGTTATGAAATTAACAGTACCAAAACCGCATGATACTACCCACAGATACTACTGGCCAGGGATGTACAGGGATACAGTAAAACATGTACGAAAAGGCGACACATGTCAAAGAATGAAGGTTGAATAACAACTACCCGAAGGAAAAATAGGCCGACACGTTATTGAAGAACCGGGGATACTTGTAGCATCGTACATTATGGGCACATAACCCCCCTCAAAAACAAGAAACCAGTATATAAGAGTTTTCCAGGACGTATATACTAAATGGATCGAAATCATACCAGTACTCAAAGCCACTGACAACGAAATCGAAAAAGCACCATAAACAGAGGTTATTAACAGATGGAGCACACAAAAATATTATGGACAGACAACAGGACACCATACATTAATAAAACCATCAAACAACAAACTCACGCATACAACATTAAATACATGACGATACCATCGTATCACGCACAAACGAACCCCGTAGAACGAACAAACCGAACACAAAAACAATGATACAAGCCTACATACAGTACGAACAACAAGACTGGGGAAAATACCTACACAACTATCAATTTGCGTATAATTACACACCAAGAACATCAACAAAATACACACCAGCATTCCTCAACCTGGGCAGAGTTCACACCCACCCACTTCCAACGAAACAAAACAGGAGGCATACTCACCCTAGATCAACTGACCATCGACAAAAGGATACGAAAAATTTTGCTGTAGATTTGGAGCCGTTACGAGGCGGAGATAAATCCAGCAGACTTATATATTTGTGACGCCAACATAGTGCCGGAAAGTTAATTGCCAGAATTTCGCTTTTGAGTTATCAATTAAAAAATAATGTCACAATATAAAATAGATATATATCTTTAGTATCGCTAGTGTAATGGTACGTGCCTATGCACCGAAAAACTGCATCCTTTGAGGATTTAAGCCTCACGACTCCTGAGACCGAAATTAATTTAAATTATATATTCGACTTATGTACGATGAATTGGTCACGATATAACCCAATAAAGGTAGTCGGGATATACCCTAATACGACCTACATTCATTGTTTGCAACCGATGTGTAAATGTTTATTGGCAAAAAGCAAAAAATACGTATTTCTTAATTTTTTGCGAGCAAACACATGGTGTAAGTGGAACTTAAGTAGGAGTGCTTGTTTAATGGATATTACAAAAAAATGTCACCTGAAGGGTAGTTCACCCCCTTGAGGGGGTGCAACATTGCTGAACAGTATTGTGTTGTCACCGTCCTTATACAGAATACGTTTATGCAAAGTTTCGTCGAAATCCCTCCACTGCTTCTACGAAAAATATTTAAAAAACCGATTTTTCGTTAAACTTTGGGGGGTTGTTTCACCCCTTAATTATGGACCATTGCAGATATAATAAAACACGTGTCCCTTAGATTTTTGTGTTCTTCAACATATATGAAACTCAATAAGATCGATGGCGAACACTTGGGAATGTTCCCTTGTAAGACTAAGCGCTCCTGTCTGAGAAATTTGGCGATTTAAATTTCTAGGAAGGTGCTTGAATTTCCGGCCTCTTAGTTATGGACCATTGCAGATATAAAAAAACACGTGTCCCTTAGATTTTTGTATTCTTCAACATATATGAAACTCAATAAGATCGGTGGCGAACACTTGGGAATGTTCCCTTGTAAGACTAAGCGCTCCTGTCTGAGAAATTTGGCGATTTAAATTTCTAGGAAGGTGCTTGAATTTCCGGCCTCTTTAATTTAATTAGGTGCAATTCTAATTGGATTAAGGGGATTTTTCGCTGACCCAGGTGCTTAGTTCGGGAAAGGAAAGGGAAGGAAATGATTCTCTGTAGAAACGGCATATTTCATCAACGGTGTGTTCTATTTGTTCATCATCGAATCGTTAAAGGAATATGGAAACATGGGAGCAAAGGTTCTTTGGATAATTTGCTTTGGGTTGGGATTCAGATCGGACTTAATAACCGTCCTCGCGTCTCTCCGCGTTTCCCCTTTTCTACGTCTCGAATTTTTACTGAAGCGTTTGATTTGAAACTCGGCCGTTGGTAAGATCGAGATACAGAGTTGTTAACTTACAACTTTAACCTGTTAACCGTGTTGACCTACTTGAAACGTGTGTTTTCGTGACGAGTATACTCGTCAAACACGGTTAACAGGTTAGTAAGAAATTGTGACGTAAGTCGGGTGACTGATCGGCCCTACTTGAAATAATACTTTTCAATTAATTTGGGCTCGCGGACTAAAATCAACCGCGTGTCTATGTGTCTTCCGGAGTTATTCCCTCCGGATTTTAGTATCACTTAGACTATATAATCGAGCCGCGGATATTGGCTGGGTTAAGATTTTGTGGAGTAGGAACTCCGATTTCAATCGCAACGTGCGATTTGGAGGATATGAAGGTAGGATTTTTGGACCTGATTTTAGTGAACTAAGATGTGGGTGTGGTCGCTATGCCAGGCCCACTGGAACACGGGACCTGAAAATAATTATATAAAAAATCATTCGTTCCTATTAAGATGTTTTGTCCGCACTCGAATCGTGAGCGGCAATGCTCGGTCATCGCGGAACGCGGAGTCTCCCAACGAAGTTATTTCCGCGGTTTTTGAGAACTCCAAAACGACCTATTCTTCTTATTTTAAATCGCGGTGGCCTTCCAAAAAAAATCGTACTTCTTTGTGTCGCGGGCGATATACAAGATAGCAAATGGTTCTTGATCATTTCACGATCGACATCCAAGAGAGCGCCCTCGCGACGCTCCGCGCTCGCGAGCCGTGCTTCCCTCTCCCGAGGCCTCCTTACTTAACAGTAAGGACGCCTCCTAATTGCGCATATCCTACGTATGCCGAAATAATGGCTACGGTACTGTTTCGCGCATTTCGAATTTGGACCTGTTACATTAGTAAGTATGAATGATATTGATTTCCTACGGATAAACGGATATTCCATCTACAGGATGTCCCACAACAGATAGTTCATCTTTCAAGGGGTGAAGAGGGTGGAAATTTGAACTAGAAGTTCCTTTCCCATTTTTGGCTCAAAACATTTTTCATTGATTTATTAGAAATTCAATTTGACCAACAAGACGGCGCGCGGTAGGAGCATGCAGGGACGCAGTGTGCCCCTCGCTCATGCCTTACGTTCCTCCAGACAAAAATTCACTTGAATATGTCAACGTATTTAATAAATGAATCAATAAATAAATAAAAATAAAAAAAGTTATAAATTGATCAAATAATTAATTTAAGATCATTATTTAACTACATAATTATTCAATATATTACTAAATGACCAATTCATTTTCCGATAAATG